GTTCTTTGTTTTATACTTTTTGTTGTTCTTTTCTTACAGTTGGAAACTGTGCAGCACAGAATAGACTTAAGACTGACTTTTAGCTGGAAGAGATGTAGTTATCCCTTCCCTAACAGATTAATAGCACAGAAAGCACTTCATATTAGGGCTGGCTACTGCATGTGATGAATAGTTTATTTTACATGGTACAGAGCAGCTGAGAACGGAATTTTATGTTGGGACTTAGCAAGAAATTAATTAATAAACCTGTCAGCGTCATAGTGCCTTTAATATACTCAACTACATTTTGTATAATTTTGGTCATCACACCATGAAAGAAGATGCATTGGAGGAAGAATTAACAAGATAGCAAGAGCATAATGAAAACTGCCGAATTAACTATGAAAGATATGTTGGTGCTTTGAAAAAATATGGATAAGAGTTTACAAGACAGGATAAGAAAAATATGTGTAAGGATGTACTTGCTCTAAACAATACACATGAGGAGGAGTAAGGGGATAGGGTGAGTTTTTTTCTGTGTCTTTCCAGACATTAGAACTAAATGCCAATGAATCAAATGATTTTTCAAGACTTGAAAGGACGTAGTTCACTTGCACATGAAAGTGATTAGACAAATCATGGAGTATAAAACTATCAAATTAATCACAATAACTACATGTAAGTTTTAGAACACCTAATACTAGTGTTCCCATTTCTACTTGGTTTCCCATGTTCTAAAATAATAGAATTGCTGGATAAGCTTTTGCTCTGATCCACAAGCGTTCTTTTGTTATTAGATAATTCAGACTAAAACATGTGTTCATTATAAGCACAGGTAGATAAGCATAAATAAATGTTTGTACAGCTTCATGTAGTATTTAGTAAAGCACGTTAGACTCTGCCAACCTGTCCTTTAATCTTCCTTTTGCAGCCCTTGGGGCACCTCCAAAGTTTGTCATAATCACACTGCCAAATATTATGATTCCTACAGAAACATACAGGAACTGAACTTGTAGGGTGGAACCATGACTTCTGAGAAAAAAAATTAAAACCTTGTGGGCTATAAATGGGTCAAAAAGAATTAAGACTTTTTATTTATACACCAGAAACTTAAGCAAGTGAATGAAATGGCTTCATTTACACTTTTTACATCCAGAAGCAGTGAAAACACTGTATACATTGATGCTATAGTAAAATCTACATCATCTTCATTAAATATGCCTGATTTATGGACAAAACCCATTCTGATTTGCACTTTTGAAATAACAATGTTTCGTAAGTGCTTCATAAGCAGTAATTACACTAGTCTTTAAAAATGTACCTCAGTATTGGAATGTATTAGCTAAATCCTGAAGGAGAATCTCCCAAAACAAATGTCCAATTTAAGGAATCTGAGAGAAACAAATGATGATACCTTGAAATTGGTTTGGACCAGGACGGTCAGATCCTTCATCTCTTTTTTTCCTCAAAAATAAAGATCATCTGCTGTACTCTTAGCTGGCTGGGCTTTAATTCCTTCATTGCAAAAAAAAAAAAAAAAAGGAAAAAAGGGGAAAAAAACCCAAATCACATTTTCTGAAATTAAAGAACAGTAAACACAGAATGCTGATGATCATTTTCTCATACCTGAGTTATCAAAAGAAAACCCAGTTAGCAGTACCTAATGTTTGTAATATTCAAATGACATTTTAATTGATTTTGAAAGAGTACAACTGTGTGATGAATTCAACCATATAGAACATAAGCTTTAAGTCCATTAGGTCTAAGCAATTAGTCTTTGTAGACTAAAACTATGTAAAATAAAGTCTGATAACTCCCTGGTGTTAGAGGTAGACAGTTTTCTTTCAAATCCTAAGTTTGGTCCTTTATTTTATTCAGCAATGAGAGCCATGAATACAGAATGAACAACAGTTGTTACAATTCTCAACCATGACTTCTAACGTCAGCGAATTCAAGGTATGAACACAGTACACAGTAATGAAAAGTATCAAAAATTAGTTTACCTCAAAAAAGATAAATAAAACAGGTATATTCCACCAATACATAAACAGATGTTGTGCTACAGTTAAAATCTGCTGTATACAAAAGATCATAGTCCCCATTATCAGCTTACGTTAGAAGCAAGAATACATGAGCCATTTAAATTGTCAGACATTATGCTTTATAAGGTATGCACAGAAGTTCAAGCAATAAATACATACATTAGTTCAAAGCCTTACAATAGCTACGCAAAGCAGATGCAGAAAAGCAGGTTTGCTATTACTAGCAAGCAATGATATCAGAGTAAAAATTCATGAAATGCATTAAAGCAACATTTTTCTTAGAAAAAGTCTGGTCATTTATGGGTCCACCAACATTTTTACATAATATGCACAATTATCAAAATACAGACCAAGCATCTCAGAAAACTCCAAAAAACCTAAAGTCTATTTTTCAAAGCAATTGCAGTTTTGGAGGTTTTTCTGGTATAATGTGCAAGCAGCTATTTTTTCCTTTAAACTGTATTTATATAAAACCCATGCAAAACTCTACAGGTATATGCATTCTGTGGCTGAGACTTCCTTTGAAAAAGGTTTTTAACTGAGGTATGCATACTTTAGCATTGTAGTCTTAGGCCACCTTCTTGATGGTCCAATTATCACTGTAACTTCCAGTCCATCAAAGTCTTTGAACATGCAATTGAAAGAAACATCAGTTCCCTTCAGTCATCCACATATCAGGGATCCCAGATGACTTAGGGAAAACCCTCATTCACATATTAAGCTTTCTTTTTGATGTCACTACTTTAAACCTTTTGTTATCATGACCCAAAGACAAATGTAATGAAAAATAGCAGTTACTGTGATGATCTCACAATTCATGTGATCTGCCATAATTGTTCTAATTTCTTTTTGTTTTTTTGTTTTCTTTTGCAGAGGTAGAAGCTTTCAAAGTCTTTTGGGTAAGTGGGAAAACCCCTTTCGAAAGCCATTTTGTCCTTTTATTTGGCGTGATAGATGACTGTGTTTCTCTTTAAGTCTATTTGCTGATTTCAGCAAAGAATACAATGAGCTTAGTTTGCAAGACCCAGGCCCATCACATGGAACTGGTACTTATGTTAAGCTCTAGCAGCCACCTTCTGCGGAAAAAAAAACGGTTGGTAAAGCAATATCCATAGGCAGGTTAAGGGGTCCCTGGGTGGGGGGGGGGGAGTATTACCAAGACTTGGCACAGCACATGAAAAGCAACACGTAAAATTTCTAGGATATAAACAAACATTAGACTATGCTAGTGTCAAATACACCATTATTGTACCATTGTAATTTGGGATTTAGAGTTGTAGAAAGGTAGGGATAGAGGAGGAGGAGGAGGAGGAGGAGGAGGAGGAGGAGGAGGAGGAGGGGGGGGGGGGAGGGGGAGGAGGAGGAGGAGGAGGAGGAAAAAAACAGGAGAAGAAAAAACAGTATTCCAACAATTTGGCCTGTGCAAGTCTTCCAAAGGGAGTGTATTGTTAGTGTTATTATCCCGTATTAACAGAGGCAGAATTTTATGTAACTTTGGTTTGACTGAAAATAAATACCATGGACTACAATTGCTATAATCTTTGCTTTCATTGTAAAAACTTACCTAGATTACTTTAAATCAATATGAAATTAATTTTTGGCTTTACTAGACCTTTTTTAAAGTTTGGTTCCTACTTTTTTTTGTCATTTATAACTTAAGACTATAAAAAGTAGCACACAACGAAGTTTAAGACCATACAAGACTTCTTCCAACAACATGTATTCATCACAGGGAATGGGGGAGGGGCGGGTATGGGGGAACCAGTCAGAATGGAAAGGGAACATAATTTAAAAAAACATATTTTACATAACAATACACAATCTGCATTTGCATCAAATACATCATTTTGGTCAGTGATCCATGTTTGTTGCTTTCTATTGTTAACTTCTGCACAAACGTCATTCTCACCTCTGTTTTAAAATAAAAACAAATCTTCACTGCATTGAGGTTGACTTTTGGCCTCAGAAGATTACATGGTGTCAAAATTGACTTTTTCCCCCCATATTTATTTCTTGGTCTAGGGCTAAATGAAAAGATCCCAGAGGTCTTCAGAAAACAGCAGGTAGTTCATGGAAAAGTTCCTTTGTACTAATTAAAGTTACAGAAGGCTGACCAAAGCATGTGGCTGCTTCTGTCATTGAGCTATTGGCCATTGTTAGAGTAGGCTTTGGTTTGCAGCTGTAGCCTTTGACTGTGTTTGCAGGTAGACAAAGCTTTATCACAAGGAGGTAAAGAGTACAGTTGTAAGATATATGCAGATATGCAAATGTTTCTATGGTGCTTGCACAGACAATGTTAGCTTAGGATTGCACTTTACATCTTAACACTAACAGCACAGACTGGAAGCTTAGATTTTAGATGGTTGCAACAGTCTAATTACTGTGGTTGGTTAGAACTAACTTATGTCATTTACAGTTGGTGGCACCAACATGAAAAAAATTAACGTTCTGTAGTTTAAAATTCAGCTAGATACAAGCAGTGACACTAGTTTCTGATACTACTCCTGTGCAAATTAAAAACAATAGCAACAAGTTGAACTTGACCAGCAATTGTTTCTAACATTATTACAACTACTGTATGCTGGAATTTTCACATTGATGAAACTAACACTATTTTTGGCAGTATATGAGGCCCATTTGCTTTCTATAGAACATGTATCCTCATATTCAATCATGTCATGAATCCTTGTTAGCCACATTTTTAAATGGGCAAGCCATTATATAGAAACAGTTTTATTTTTCAAGAAAATCAGTTTATCTTTAAAAAAGAAAGGAAAAATTAAAATAAAAAACAAGCTATTTGTCGGCTTGTAATTGAATTCCCAAAGGGCTGGCTTAATGAGTTCCTTTAGGATTGTTTCTCCTTTATCCATGGTTAATAAATAGTCACAGTAAAAATCTGTCAAATATTCATGGTTATGGAGTGGTTGGGAAGGTCAGTATTATGTCCCTTCATTTTGAGATTTCCCAAGTCTCTGTTCATTCCAGATCTTCAGATAAAGGCTCTTCTTCAATTTCTCTATCATCTTCCAACTCTGGACTGTGATTTGCTGTTGTCACCAGAGACATCGGACAGTCTTCATCCTCAGCAGTCATTGGCTCTTCTTTGACATGGATTGAGTGTCTAAGGAGGAGACAATAGGTCAGAATTTTACTTATTTAGTACATTTGTCAGTAGACAATCAGCAATTTTTTTCTTCTATCGCAAGGAAAACATTAAAAAATAGGATTCTAACTAAAGAATCTGTAACTAACTTTTCTTATCATGGCCACTCATCCATATAATCTCTTCATAAAATTCTTGGCCTGCTCATAGAGTTTCAAGATAGCAGTCAGAATTCTTATCAGAGTTGTCTGGTCCTGTGCTCTGCATCTGATTCTGGCTTGGTATCTGAATGATTACATATTTAAATATGCTTCTGCTTGAACTGTTTATCATATGCTGCTTTACTTAAACTACCGGAATTCCATTTTAATTTATAATTGTCAACATAAATATAAATTGCAAAATAATTAAAGGAAACTGTAAAAATGATAATGAGTACAGAATATCTAATCTACTTTAACGGCATCTCTAGTCCATTCATAACTTCCTCATAATTATTTGATTTCTTTTAATGTTCTTTAAAATATGAAAGAAAAACAATATTTCTGATGAAATGAATACCAACAAATCAATGACTAATAATTTAGCATACAAAAATGCTGCCGTCTTCACTTTCTTAGAAGCTCTCTAGTAACTGCCAAAGACAGTTAGGGGGAAAGGCATTTGGGAGAGGGTACTGGAAGTGTGAAAGAATGCTATGAGAAATTGGAGAGTATGGACATTGACAGGAATCAGAGCTGCCAAACCGAGATATCTTCCTGTCTTCAAGCAAATCGGCCCTGGGAAAGGAATTTACTGTGGCACCAGGTTCCCAAAGCATCAGAACAGGACCCGATTGGACTATTATCCCAGGGAGGAGAATTTGGACATTGGGATTGCTTTCAATATATTTTTCTTCAGAACTTGCCTAGCTCATGCTACACTCAGAATCTCTAGTAAAAATATCTTTTTTTCTAACACCTATAGAATCAAGGGAACCAAGGTGTGGCCAGTCTGAGAAACAGTGTTGTTTTCAATATATCAGTGAGGGTTTTTAAAACATGCAACTTTATGTGCTTTTGCATGCACCTACACATTATTTTATCTAATTATTTTTTACGCTGAATGTGACAAGTGTGACAATATAATGATGGGAAATTAATCAGTGCATATCCTCGAGTTTTTTTCCCCCTCTAGCTGAAATGCACATGCTTGTTTTAGAGAAAGTAGAAGCTAGCTAGTGAGGTAGGTAGAAGCTTGGAAGGTTCAAACCAAGCACCTGATGAAAATATTATATAAATAATAATAATGAAAAAAATTCATCCTCTTTACCCTGAAGCAAGAGAAGACCTGCTTTTTTTATCTTGTTAATAGAAGCCACAGTCTCTCATTAATATGCAGGGCCAGCATGCTGCTTCTCAAGAGGAAAACCTGCAGCCAGTCTTTGCCATTAATCAACTTCAGCCCAGCAGTTCAGTGAGACATGATGATACATGTTTTTAACTCTAAATTAATGAATATCTTTACCAACTGTCAATAAATGAAGAAAAACACTGGTGAGGAACACAAGTTGAGGTGGGAAATTTCCAAACACAACAGAACGATGAGGGGAAGTGGGTAACTAACAAGAATAATAATGCTGTCACACACAAACAAGGCTTAACATGATCCAGGTCCTACCCAAGGAAAGGGTTGTGCTGCAATGGTAAATCTGCCAAAACCTAATTATTTTTGACACATTAGATGCATCAGGGAATTGCTCTGAAAAAAAAAATCCTTATCAAGTAGTTTTTGCATTAGAAAGTGACTGAATCTGCCAGCCATCTCTTGGGCTATGCTCTTCAATGAAAGAAGTAACTTTGAATTTTAAAAGGTACAGATTGCTTGAATATTCAATGCAAAATAACTTATTATTCAAACCTTATTGTGAAAGCAATCAGTTTTGTTGTGTTTTTCCAATCTTTATATGTTAATAAATTGTTCGCTATTAGAAAAAGGATCCTCTTAAATAACTGAAATCTAAAAATTTTTTTTTAAAAAAAAAGCTGTAATAAAGTCAACATTTGAATTAGTCATTACAATGTAAAGTCACAGAAATGTCACTACAATAGGTTCATTCTGCAACTACTAATACATCAGCCATATTTTGGTTCAAAGAAAGCATGATATTTTATAGTCACTGGCATCTTTCAAGGCCTACAGTAAGTCAAATTTATCTAAACAATCAACTCCACTTTATAATTATCTAGGGATGCAAATTCATTTTACTTCAAGAAGCTTCACTGCAAAACATAGCTTTTTAAAAGTCCTGTTGCTAATATTTATCATATACTAGCAAACCATTTTAGAAATATGTATTAAAATATGTATTAAATGTATTAAAGCAAAACAAATGAGTCTAGACTATTCAAGGTTGTTGTAGTCATAAAACATTGCAAGCCTTTCCCTAATATGAAAAACATAGTTTACAGTTTTAATTTGCATTAATTATAAATCAGTAACCTGCTTGTGTGGTTTGAAAAAGCGAGAAAAATTATGAGTTCTTTCAGTCACTTTATGCTGTATTAAGATGTCTGGATGAGTCATTTAGTATTTAATGAATAGCAAGCATTATGAAGTCAGAAATAAATGTGTTCTATGTATCTTTGAATTCATTGCTGCAATTGGAATGAGACACTTGCATATTGTGACAGGATTATTACTAGCAATCATGCACAGATATGCTGGGGATGCAAATAACATTATTAGCTGTGTATTGTAATGAAATAAGGTGTATTATCATTCTTTATGGTGACACTAACCATATTAGCTTTGCTCCAACCAAATTTATAGAACGTACAAAGTACAAAGCAAAGTTGCTTGTTTGGGGTTGGGTTGGGGTTCTTTAATTCTCCAGTAAACTAACAGAATTAAAGCTGCATCGATATAAAAAACGTCCAAAATAATATATCAACAAAACAAAGGCATGTCATTCTCTGAATTAGGAAATGCTTCCTAAAGTTTTAACAAGAAGTTGTACAAGAACAATGGTTATGCAGGAACAATGAGAGATTGGGTCATAGAACACATTCAACATAGGTGCTTAATTGCAGCAATGACAATTTGCATCTGGATCATGCATTTTGTTGCTTGTATGCAAGTCACCAGACAGTGGATTTTAAGTGATGAGTCATCTTTTTATAAAATAAAGATTATATATATATAATGGGTCTGAGAGGTATGCCTTCTTTGTGTATTTTTGGGAGGCCGTATAGTTTGGGGCA